ATTTATATAATTTATACTCACATTATTATTTTATCTATTTTCCCTAACAGCGTAGAAAAAAAAAATGGTTTTACTTCACAAGGGTTTATTTCTTATTACCATTTTTCTCCACTCTGGTAAGAGGCTTAACTCCTGAGAAGACATCAGCAAGCTCAGTCATCCTTTCAGACCCTTCTTTTTTATAGTTTTCCCATTTCGTTTGTTTTTCTGACAGCATCTGCTTGAACATCTTTTGGAAAAAAAAAATGATTTAGACTAGCAAGACAGCATACAATAATATATAAATAAAATAACATATTGACCAGATTGAACTTGAGTACTAAATACTTGGGAGATTTTGCCGGAATTTTAAGTACAAAATTAACAGCATTGAAAAATATAGCTAGTGGGATGGACATGTACTGACATAAATTAATAGAATGTTATAATACAAGACATATAGCACTGATTTTTGGTCAGTTACAGAAATATCCTGTGGTATTTTAGCTGAGAGAGCCTAGAAGGCTGCTCTAATGTTGACTTGTACTTTGCATAGTCATCTTAGCCTATGCAAAGGGAAAACCAGTTGAACAAGGGTACCTGTGCTTGAAGTCAAACCTACTCTTACCCTTTTAACCAGATCAGTCGAAATGGGAGTTGTTTTCAAAACTCAGAATTAACAAAACCAAAAAGTCATTCTTTATATTAGTGGAGTGAGCAGTACGTGTGCTACTGCTACTCAATTCTTCAGCCCTGTTCTGCTGTTCAAGTAAGAACATTGATGGCAGCAGTGACACGTTACCTCTTTTAAAATGAATTCAAACTGAGCTGTGTCCAGTAGCAGCTGGAAAAGGATCTTGGGATTATACCTTGAATCTGTTAGAATTTGCTCCTTTATCTGGCGGAGACGTTTGTTATTTGGGTCACAAGCTGAAAGAGGAAGGACAAGATTTATCTACGGTTACAGAATTTAGCTAAGCTGCTAATATTTATATGAATATTAAGAGTAGCATGCATACTGTTCCAGATTAGGATTCTAGGAGACTCTTAGCAAAACAAAGCCTCAGAAGCTACTGAAGTCAGCTCCTGTGGCTTCAACAGCAGCACCCCCTGGTCTTCACTCAGCACCTAACCCTGAGCTACTACTCTGCAATATCCCAGTGCCAAGTCCCACCTGTGTCTGCAGTGTGGAGCATCAGCCAGCGGATCGCCACGTTGCAGTCTCGCAGGCAATTCAGCAGCTTGGGAATGTTGTCCAGTACCAGCTCTTCCCTTAGGCACCCCTCTTTGAGGAACTGCTGCACTTGAGTGTGCACTCGCTCGGTGACTACGGCATATCTGCTGGCCTTGGGATATGCAATATTACCATTAATAAAATCCATGTCTCAAAATGAAAACATCATCTACAACATGGGGCTTCCCATGTTGTAAAGGGCACCAACTCAAAAAATGCTTTAAAGAAAACAAACAGATATTCTCTGAAATCAGGTGCTTCTTCCAGATTATTGTTTAGACAGCCTAGAAGGCCCCTAACTATCTGGCTGAGTGTTGCACTCTCTAAACGTTCAACTTCTAAAGCTGTACTGTGGAAGTGCACACCATAGACAGCTAAGACAACCCAGGACTGCAAAACACAGTGATGACTGTCAGCAGGTACACAATCAAGCCAGGAGGAAGAGAGACAAGTCTTCCTGGGAGATCAGGCTTTGAAACCAGGGGTTTTTAACATGTATTCATATAAATAATATAAATAATAATTAATCGTATGCAAGGAAAAAGAGACTCATACATTAATGACAACACAATATACTCAAAATAGTTTGAGTCTAGCTGAAAATATTAAACTGCAGCTTACATACCTGCTCTTTCACATTTGAAAGATCTAGTGTGTAGTTGAGTGCAGTTTTGGCAGCTTTGTAGGGCTCCCATGCTTCTGCTAAATTTACAGCAATTCCCATGTAAATACTAATAACCTAAGATTGGAAGCAAAAATTTGTGTTTATATTTGTATTATTCCAACCTATATTTTTATAGCAGACTGTATTCTGACGGTATGAGTGCAGTTGATTTAAGCATTTAAGAGGATAATTAATATTTGCAAAGGATAGTTTTCTGTGCTGATCCAGAAGCTTTGACTCAGTTTGCTTCACTCCAGACAAAGTATAATGTCCCCAGAAAAGAATCTATTCTACTTTTAGAACATTACAGCAGGCTTTGCAGAAAATAAGCTAAATCATTTCAATAACATTAAATCCAGGGTGAAGTTTAAAAACAGAATTAATGTTTACCCAATTATCTGGAAAGTATTTATCCACTATCTCTCTCATTTTTGCTTGCTGAGTGTGAAGAATAGAAGGGTCAAAATAGAGTATGACATAGAGCATAGCAGCCTGAGTGGCCAGGGCAGTGCTGCGGTGTTCTGGTAAGGGATATGCAGAAACCTAGGAAGAGGAAAGAAAACAAAGCAAAATATAATGCAACAATCCCTTCCAAATATTATGGGGAACATTAAAAAGAACACTATATAGATACCAGGAGGCTGTCTTATTTGTCACATAGGTAAGCTGGGCATGCTTACACATGCAACACATTCACCAGGTATGTGAGTATCAAACAAATATTAACCTGTGTGACCTGCCTACTTCCTTCTCTTGCTCCCCTTCTAACCCACCTTTCACTCCAAGAGAGTAATGAGATACTAAACTTATATGCTTACTCCAGGACTATAATTTTCATCATGTTACAGAAGGTTGCTGCTAAATGCCCATGCTGGATCCCAGGAAAGCATACAAAGCACAAACAAGCAGACACAAGAAAACTCTACTCGAGGACAAAAAAGTACCTTTGCATTCAGGAGAGGTACATTTGGGTCCCCCCCTACCCCTCCTTTTCCAAATGACCCTTCCTCCTTTATCCCTGTATTCCAGAGATAAGCAATCTTTTCTCGTTACACACTGGAAAGCCAGCAGCACAGGTACAGAGTGCCATCTTTTTCAGTTGGATTATAGGTGAAAAAGTTTGCACTGAAATTCTCAGAGACTCTCACTACCACAGAAGTCTTGTAATCTAGTGCGAATCAAGCACTCTACTAAAGTCTGACTTGGAATACATTTTCTGTCTAGATGCTCAAGACTTTTCAGAGATTTGAACCAACAATTGGGAACATGTAATACTTTCAGAGCTGACACTTGGAGCATTAAAGCTTCAGGTCAAAGTTCATTTGTCAATGAATTTCAAGTCTCTTATGATAGCATGAGAATTTAGGGCCTGAGTCTTTAGAGGCAGATCTGCAAAAACAACTAATGTAAGGATCTCTACTGACATTCAGAGAGCTATACAGAATTATCAGAGTCTATCCATATGCTCTAGGCAGTCCAGAAAAGTGTCAATATCTCCATTTATCTTAACTGAAAAACTGAGTGCATTGAACGTACTGTGTGTTAGATCCTTTGAGCTTTGAGTTCTTCTGCATACCAATCCACATTACCTGTATCTGTAGTAGGAAACCAACATTCTTTCTCTGACCTCTCCTTCAATCTTCTGGTCAATGACCAACAGCATGACTCCATACAGATAGAGGGCTTCACACTGTTGAGGATAAAAACAGAAACAAAGAACAAGAAGCAAAAACCAGAAGGAAATCAAATCTGACAAACTAACACTATGGAATCTACTGTAAAACTAGTGTGAAAATGACAGGTTGTTGATTTTTGAATTGAATTTGAATTTGGTAACTTGAGACCAGAAAAAACAAAATAGATGTCAAAAATATATCTAGAATTAAATTAGTTGGTTCATTTTCTACAATTACAAAACCACTGGGTACTTACTAGAAGCTGTTTTCCATCTTCATTAAGGAGGACAGTTTCTAATGTTTGCTGAATGTAAATGCCTTCATTGAGGTCATCTAAATATCTAGGAATTACATCAAAGGTCATTGACTATTTTCCTCTTAAATCATGCGTTCTCATAACTCAACTGGCCAATTTTCACTCAAAGCAACAGACATGTCACAATGCTCCTCCAGTGCAAGCAGCAAAATGTTTTTCACACAACAAAAAACAGATGCTCTAATACGAAATGAGAGGCTGGAACTCAACCAGCTGGCAAATCCTCCTTCAATTTTACTAATGCTGTATATGGAAGATACTGAAGCATACTCTGTAACTTGGAGCAAAAAAATCATTTTCTTAACCTTAACATGGCAGGACACAGAAGAGAACAGAGAATTAGGAAAGAAAAATTTTTCTTTCTCTTTAAAATTTAGCAAAACCATTATATTTCAAAGTCATCTTCAATGAGAGCTACTAGAAATACCTTACATTTATCTTAACTGCAGTTTGAAAGTACAGCTATGAGAAAAATATTTCATCTTGATTAACTTAACTGTTTTCAGCTTATATATTAAGTTGGTATGCAACAGCAAGAGAAACAAAAACAGTGTCCAATCCAACAAGCCAGGTTTCACAGTGTATTAGAATATGATTCTACTGCAAACATTGCGTCTCTAAGTAAAAAGTTTCCAATCACCAAGATTAAACAGTATTGCAGTCTTTAAGAAACTCTGTGTATCAATAAAAAAATGTACCTGTTTAAATCTACAATGTATTTATGAACACTCTGAAAAGCTAGATAAAATCTTGTCAAAATTTCAATGTTGTTTTCACGAAATTCTTCATCTAAATCCAGCAATTCAGGTTTGGCTTCCAGTTTGCCTTCACATATCTCAGGCCCCTAAGAAAGAAAATTCATATTTAGAGACAATATTTGATTGTGTCTGAGGAAATCTTCATCAGGACACAGAACACACAAAACCACCAGTGTGTATGTAACGATAGAATTAACAATTATTACTAAAATGAGACATCTACAGTTTTCTAAGCTACCTTATGGCTAAACAGTGATCCCATAACGATGAATTTTACATTGTCGCAATCTATAATGATTATAATATATTTTTGAATACGATAAGGTGTAATGATTTTGCCTCCAGACACAAATGAAAAGAATAGCTAGCACCTTGGGTAAAATCCTGGTGCATATGAAACCACCATGTACCTTAAAACAGGCTTTTTTTTTTTTTTTTTGGAGGGGGGACAACTATCTCCTCTTTCTACATCTTTTTCCTTTACACATTTGATCTGGTTGATTCTCAAACAGAATCCATAATGTTGAGGCCTCCCAAAGAGCTGACAGTTTTGTACCCTCTCATACCTTTAAAATCCTTTCAAATAGTAGACCTATGTGAGACGTTTGACAAATTCTAGACCTAGCTCAGTGCTCGTCCCCCAGAATGACGCAGAAACCATGTAATTAACAGCTGTTTGGAAAAATGGGGGAAGAAGAAAAGCCTGACTTTCTGAAAGCAGTGGATAACTTTTAACCATTTGCTGCTGTGTACTCATCACCTTTCAGGCCTATCTCCAACAGTTAACTGAAAATATGACACTGTGATCCTAGGTTTAAAAGATTTTGTGAATGGGTACTCCATTAAAAAAATCACTTAAAATAGACAAATAGACTTGTAACAAAAATTCACATCTAAAGGCAACTGAGAAGTCACCTGTGCTCAGAATTTTCAGTCCCTCAAGTATTAAACATCTAAAATGCCTATAAAAAATCCACCAAAACAAAACCACATTGCACTAACAGTAATGTCTTCTGTACTGTACAAGTTAGGTGGAGAAACCAAAACACATAGGCTGTGTAGTTCCCTGAAAATCATACCGGAGTCATAGAAGGAGGAAAAAAAAAAAGGGGGGGGACTGCAAGAACCTTAGTTCTGTGAGAAAAACGAAGGCTTTTCACGGACACTGCTCTGATTTGTTGATTTGGCACACACGGACACGGGCAGGGAACGAACAACCACTCTACTGTCAAAGCATAAAGCAGTGTTTATGGCCGCAAAGAAAAAGCTAAAGATAACCACAGGAAGACAGGCATGATGAGCCAAGGGAAAACAACCAAGCGCGTAGGATCCAAGCCTAAAGGTGAAAATCAAATTCTGAGTTTCTTCAGAAAATAATAATAATAATTAATAATGCCCAAATCCAATACTCAACTGCCATGAAACTCAAGGCCAGATGACTCATCAAACATTATTAAAGTTGTAGCGGGGCCTGCTTTTCTATGTCTGCATTTAAACCCACTCCACTATTGGCTCTAAACATGTGGGTAGTGGTTGTACTTCTACTCCTAGGGAGCTAAGCACATAATCTTCACCAGTGTGTTCCTAAAATAAATAAGACAAGGCCAAGAACGGTAAGTATATATAAATACAAAACATCCCAAAGGGCACTGTTAGTACACAAACACACCCCAAAGAGCATCTCAGTTTGGTGAATTTTGGTAAATACTAAGCAAGCAGTCAATTTTAGTTAATTCTGATGAATGTTAGCACTGATTCCACGTTTCTGAGGAGATAAACTGAAACACCCTCAGGTTGTATCAGGGCAACAACATTTTGAAGAGAAGCGTTACAGCAGAAGAAAAGGATTTACCTTAAAATAACTGAAATCAAATATGATATCTCCATACTTCTGTTGATCGGCCTTGTCCTTTAGCCTGAAAACACCAGGGATAAATTCCGAAAGTCTTAAAAGTTCCGCAATGATGGCATTTCCACAGGAGACAATCCTAAGAATGGCCTGGCCACACAGATTATTTTCAGCTAGAAAATCAACCATTGTGGAGCCCAAGGGGACCAAGTAGCAACGGTCCTGCAGCCTCTTCTCAGGGTCAGTCCTTAGGTTTTGTGAAGAAAGTCTACCAAGAAAAGTGGCCGGTCCATTAATAGTACCTGTAAAAACAGAAATACCCATATTTTGAGTGTTTCATGGTTATACCTTTGATGATTCATTCTGTAGGGATTTAAGCACAGTTAAATCTTCCAATTTTTGAAATATAAATGCTCCACGTTTTGTTCAAATGGAACAACAAACTGAGTTTACATTGACCCTACATAGCATTGGCTTAGCCACCTGCATGACCAGGCAAGAAATAACAGTCTGATTGTTTGAGCCAGGAAATTTGGGGGTAACTATTAGAGAATGAGACGAAACATTGAGGCTGTGGAGGCTACACAGTAGATGGCAGCAAGGAAAGCACAAACTAATGTCTTAGGACACGCATTTATAAGGTTGCAGTCATGATACATGCAACTAAAAACACTATAAGGAACAAGGGAAAATTGTGTTGAAATGAGGGAAAATCTTATATATTGGGTGTATGGAAATAGCACTGCTCCTTCCCTGTATTTATTGCTTAAGAGAGCACTTTTGCACTGTGGTTGCATTTCCTGGCCACAGTTGAATTCAAGGGCCTTTCTTTTTCCCCCTCTAAGACCTGGAAAAAACAATGAAGCTAAAAACAAGGCACTTTTTTAGCTCTGGGACATTTATGGCAGGTCAGGAGCTGCCTTAAGTCAAAGGATCCCCCTCCCTGTGAGACCCCCCCGCCCGGTCCCCAACGCGAGCAGCGTGCGCGGCCTCCCCGCGACGCGACGCGGCGCTTACGGTGCTCGCGGCGGGTCCGCGGGCGACGGGCGGGCGCCGGGGC